GCATCTAAAACCTGATTTGTAAACTGAAATATACTAGACGCATCATCCATCCAACTATGAATATAGAACATAGAAGTACCCAGAGAGAAAAAACTGACCCAAAAACTTTAACCTGGGACGCCGACGCGAGGGTGTACCCTACCCCTCCCTCCGACTTGGTCAAGATGAGCTAATTCAGTGCGCTGAAGATCATTCTCAGCTTAGCGAAGAATATTTATACCCCACGCAACTAGTTGCGGGAGCTAATATAATGTTTTTGACCCGTCCGTCAGTCAGTCCGTCAGTCCTGTTTTTTTTGTCAGCGCAACTCCTCCTAAACCGCTGCACAGAATTTCGCCAAACTTTGCAGATATATAGGACACAATGTGTAGATGTGCATATTACCAGGAAATTCCGATTCCTTTATTTTTTCTGGGAATTTCGGCACTTTTCAACTTAGATTTTTGGCCATATCTTGAATATAGAGATGAACAGTTTGTCAGCGCAACTCCTCCTAAACCGCTGCACAGAATTTCGTCAAACTTTGCAGATATTAAGGATACAATGTGTAGATTTGCATGTTACCAGGAAATTCCGATTCCTTTATTTTTCTGGGAATTTCGGCACTTTTCAACTTAGATTTTTGGCCATATCTTGAATATAGAGATGAACAGTTTGTCAGCGCAACTCCTCCTAAACCGCTGCACAGAATTTCGTCAAACTTTGCAGATATTTAGGACACAGTGTATAGATGTGCATATTACCAGGAAATTCTGATTCCATTATTTTTGCCCTAAGAGTTTTGCCTATTATTGAAGAAACTTTCCAGTTAGGTAATAAGGAAATCCACACTGGAATCAGCCTTTGTAATGACATTTTATGTGAAATATTTTATGACCTTAAAAGACCCCTATTGATTTTGAGATCAAAATATTAATTATTTAACAAACACACAAAATCTTGAATCTTAGATAGTTCTCAAACCCCCCACCCCCCTCAAATTGGTGCTTTGCCTTAAATAATTTCATAAGTACAGTATATAAACAAATTCATATGACTACATCATAATTATGTTTCCATCAATTATTTAAATGTGTAAGTTGTCATGTGTTGGACATGGACTTACACTCATTAACAAATCGAAATCACTGAGGAATTTAAATAACAGTTTGTCAGCATAACTCCTGCACTGAATTTCCTGAAACTTTGTAGGTATTTCAGACACAATGTATGGATTTGTATATTACCAAGAAATTTTAATTCCATTATTTGTCTAGAAACTTCAGCCCAATTAAATTTGTAACATACAAAGATTTGAATGTCCTTATATGCAAGAAGTTTTGATGTGATGATTTTTTGCAAGTAATGCCCCTTTTTGAATTATACTGTGTATTTAAAATGACTGTGCTATTCAGTACATGTTGCATTGTGAGTTTTGGGGGAGCGTGGGGCATGTGAGCTTGCTCACTTTTTTCTTTCATGTTTTATGAAGGAACACATGTTTTTGACTTTCAAAGCCTGAAAAATGTGGTTTTTGGAGAAAGAGTGACATCACAGATCAATTTTAAATCGATTTAGGGAATGAGGAGGTAATCGGACTTTATCTCTTACGGAAAACATATACAAAAGATACCGATCAATGCAAATATATGTTCAAGATAAAGAAAGACAACTTAGTTTCAGAGCATTCACGTGTAAATTGAACATACCCATATTATGCAAATCTCAAGAATAGACATTATTTAAATATGTTATAATTTTTATCTCTGTGGTTAAATACAATGTATTTTTGCAAAAAAAAAAATATCGATAAATAAAAAGTGTTTTATTTTGAATATACATGTAAAAGTAAACAAAAATATTTGACTTCGGAAAAAGAGTAAAATTACTTAAAAAGTACATTGTATTTCTAAAGGATAACGATATGTATAGCACTCCTTTGTTGTATGTGTTTATAATCATTTTGTTTCTTGATATTCAGTGAGGGCGGCAGAAACATTGGTTTTCTTCTACATGTATATTTGCATTTATAGTATCAGTGTATTTTTGCCGTTTATACGGATTATCGCATGTTCCAATGTATAAACTTGTAAATCTTTATGAACTTATCATAATTTTCCCTCTTTACACTAGCATACTAATGTCGAGTGTTCAAATGAACCATTTTTTCTGTGGAAGCAAGTCCCTCCTCAGGACAAAGAATGGTCGGACAGACGACGAACTTGATAATTCCTTTATACACGTACATGTCCGCAGCGGTCTTCAGGCGATACAAAAATCGCTGCACAGATTAAAATGGTTCCTAGTGTGTGGTACTTCCGAAAGGGGGGGGGGTAAAATCCTTTTCCCTCTACTTTCAATGACTGTGTTCTATATATATCATTGAATTGATGTACTTCCCTGTAACATTAACATGAATATTTCATCATATACGCAGTTAAATCTGAGGAAGTGCGATGATGCTAGATAAGGCATTATTACCGGTGTGGTCTGCACATTCCTTTTCTAATACAGGCATCAGAAAAAGTAGAAAGAAGACCATACAACCGTAAAATCATTACAGATGATGCATGTTCATCAATTGAGTAAAAATTAAGTAATTTTTTTTTTTGGTTAGGCGAAAAAAAAATGTATCCAAGCCCTGCAAATTGCAACGCATACACTATGAATTTAAAAGGGCTCACTACTTCATTTTTCAAAATTATTTCCAAAATTATTTAAATTTTCTTTTTATCCTCATTGAAAAATATCCCTATTATGGTGGCATATTTCTGCCCCTTATGTGCAAGTTATTTTTCAATCAAATATGTCGACATGCAAGATATATATGTTGACATGCAAGATAGTTATGTCAACATGCAACATAACTATGTTGACATGCAAGAAAATTGTAATCAAATAAAAATTATAAAAAATCTTCAAAAATCTCAAATATTGCCCACATGTGACATCCAACATGCTAGATGCTACTTATTTATGTCAACATGCATTTTATTTATGTTAACATGCGAGATAAATATGTTGATATGCAACTTATTTATGTCGACATGCAACTTATTTATGTCTACACGCAACTTATTTATGTCGACATGCATCTTGGTTATGTTGACATGCGAGTTAAATATGTTGACATGCAACATATTTATGTCGACATGCAACTTATTTATGTTTACATGCATTTTTCAGATACAGTTCTACTATGACCTTAACCTTAGACCTTAAAACATAGTTCAAGGTTCAAGAGACCTCAGACGAACAGATGGACGGACGGACGGACCGCCCGCAGAGAGGTGCCCTAAAAACGTTTTATAATCTACGGTCTCGTTTCTAAATCAACAAACAAACAAACAGAACCGTGCCTCATTGCACGTGTCTTTGGTAGTAACGAGTCTGCACGCTCGCACAAATGTTCAAATTGTGTATCACATAATTTCTTTTGCATTTAAAGAGGCTGGGGGGTTGTGGCCATTTTTAGACTATACTGATCTCCTTTAGAAGAAGAGCTCCATATGAAGATATAGAAAATGATCAAATTTTAAAACTAAAATTTTTGAAATTTTTCTTTGCCAAATGATAGTTGACAGCTTAAGATATCATATCTAAAAAATTAAGTTAAATCTGGTGGTTAATTTGTTGATCTCCCAGCCTCCTTAAATTTGATCATTTAATTCAAAATCTTATTTAGAAAATCGATCATATTTTTTAAAAAAGTATATATCCAAAATAAAATCACAAATCGATCATATTCACTGTAAAATTTTTCGCCATCCCTGTGTCTTAAGACATTCACATCGACTTGTAATTTCATTTTTGGATATTTACTTTTTTTAAAATTAAATATATATATGTTACTCAGCATAGCTAAGTTGCATGTCAGCATATTTATCTCGCATGTCAACATAACTAAGTTGCATGTTGACAAAAACAAATTGCATGTCAACATATTTATTTCGCATGTCAACATAAATAACTTGCATGTCGTCATAAATAAGTAGCATCTAGCATATTGGAAGTCACATGTGGGCAATATTTGAGATTTTTGAAGATTTTTTATAATTTTTATTTGATTACAATTTTCTTGCATGTCAACATAGTTATGTTGCATGTTGACATAACTATCTTGCATGTCAACATATCTATCTTGCATGTCGACATATTTGACAGAAAAATAACTTGCACACATGAGGCAGAAATATGCCACCATACCCTATGGTCAAAATAACAAGAGATTCTAAAAGTATTTACTTGAGAAATCTAAAGCGGATTATTGAGGGGACGAATTATAGAAAACGTGTTAAGCTACTTCAAGCAGAATTACATAACAATTAATTTAAATGAACTAGCAAACATATTTGATCCGTGTTCCAAGTCAATGAACTGTAACGTAAACTCAATCGATCACTTGTATCCAAGCATACAGGAAGTGACAAACGATGCTATAGTTTTCTGATGAAGGTAAGTCTGTTTTCCACCAATGTTCCTTTATTTGCTCACCATATTGTAAACGCATATTTGTGCAATATCTTTGATATTACTTACGTTCTTTTGCGTTAGTCAAAACTCTTCATAGCTGTCTGTATGACTTTATACATTGAGAAGATTGGACTGCATTTATAATCATCTGTGAGGTGTTATTTCCATTTTTATTTGATTCCGATATATGCAGTAGACCATGAATCAAAGTATACACCGTATTTTGTAGCGTACTGCATGAAGAGCCTTTTTTAAAAGTCATTGTCCTGTAAGTACAAAGTGTCTAAGTAAACCTTTTAAATTAAAATCTTTCTGGTATTGTTGAATGGATTAAACAAACATTGACATTCAAATATGTACATATAAACATCAAAACATTGATTTTTAACACCTTACACACTTTTATAAAAAAGCAACATCGTGTATTCTAGAGGATAAATGAGCCTCTTATCCACCGTTTAATCCTGTTTATATTATTTAATATTAATATCATGTATACATTTATTCTAACTTCAGGCAGAACATAAAGATTTGGCTTTAGTAAAAACATGAAAAAAGTAAGTATACATGTATTTGTATATCACGGGTAGCATTTTTTTTTTATTTTTTCATTCACTTTTTCAGACTCAAACTAAAAAACTAAAAACGACTGCATGATATTAATGATTTAAGAACTATATTTGTTTGTACACAGAGAACGGTTTATGTCCGTGTTGTATTTCTGAAAGTCGGCGAAATCGACACGGTAAAGGAGAAATACTGTGCAGACGTGTTTGTCCAAGCAAGATGGCGGGAACCATCATTGGATTTCTGTCAAGTATGTGTGCAGCGGAAAATTGGGGGGTTGGGGGGGGGGTAACTTTTAAGGGGTTTGAGATAAAGATGACAAAACATGGCATCTATATCATATATTCCTGATGAGTGTGCTACCGTTTAAATGAGAATTGTATATACGGTAAACTTATTTTTTATAGCATCTTCGAAACACAAAATTGGACAATTACTGGGACCCTAGAATGTCGGTTCAAAACGTGATAGACTCAAAAAAGAAGAAAGTGTTAAAAGAATTGACTTTCGGTCCCAATGAGGAGGCGTATATCGTAGAGAAGAGAAAACTAAGCGGAAACTTCTCCGAGAAATTGGAGCTTGGGGACTTTCCTTTTGATCATCAGGTACAGACTTACTATTATTTACGTGTGAAATTAAGTTTATGCAAGATTTAGATGTATCTTTGATTTAGTTTTTCTATTAGTAGCAGCGCTAAATTCAGACATGCCATAACCTTTTCTTTTCTTTTTTTTTTTTTTTTTTGCTTCTGGTTAACAATTTTGTAAATAGAAAATACTTCAGTTCCCATATTTTTACTTTGTGAATGATATTTTCTTATCCTTCATCAAGCGTTGATGTTTGTGTTATCTATTTTCCTTTTTTACTCTTAAAAATGAAGGGTAAGTGTTATTCTTCAACTGATATTATAAGCTTACTAGGGTTATCAGCATTACTTAAAAATCACTGACGTTACTTTTAACAGTATTTGAACCTGATTATTACGTCAGAAATTCCCGCCAGTGAATTAGAATTTGTGGAGGACACGGAGGAACTGAGTACCATTAATGTGTCCTGCTTTGTGGATGTCCAGGAGTGGTCACTTTATGACTATGTAGATTTTGTTCCTTACACAGAGACTAAAGTGTTCTCGCAGAAACGAAATGTCAACGCCAAGTTCCCGGGCATTTCTGTCGGCTGCTGTGCAGTCAGACGCGCGGGATTCTTCGTTTGGAACGTTATTGTGATAATGGTAAGACTAAAAACTGCTCACTCTATTCAGTCCTTAGAGATATATTCTTAATATACAATGCTATTTCAACATATTAAGGTTCACTGATACTCTGATAAGAGAGATAACTTTCACTGGGATAAATTACTTAAGTACTACTTTATAAAATTGTCAAATTAACAAGGCAATTTCTGTCAAATTTTGTCATAATTTAGAATTCTTTTGAATAATGATAAGCGTTAAGGACAGATTTTATATGAGTGAACAGAGGGGGAATGAACTGTAACCATATTTGTTTTATTATTACATACACATATATGTGCCACTTCTTTCTATTTTATTATTACAGACACTTATATGTGCAACTTCTTTCGCGACGTTTGCAGTCAGTCGTAAACTACCTCAAAACAGACTACAATTATCCATTACTTTGATGCTGACGGCAGTTACATTTAGATTGACGACAAATGCTAATCTTCCAAAGATATCATATCACACCCGTCTGGTAAGTGCAATAAATGCTTATATCTACTTAATTTAAATATATCGCGAACGTATGTCTGGGAAGTGCTACTTCGATGTCAAGTCAGTTTCTTTGCGTGTGAATTTAAAGCAAACTTTTTATGTATCGTTATTTTTATTATCTCCTTCAGGAAACTTACCAACTAATTACTAAAAATTCAGTGCATTAATACATTTACAATGGTTTCGATAAGTGTAACAGTATCTTACAGTATATTTATATTAGGAATCGGAAAATAATTGCAAAATACGACGACGTTTCATATTCAGATGGTTAATCTTTTTAGAGATTTTTAAATATAAAAACTTGTTTAATCTATTTAATTAATGAAGTAATTAATTAGTATTTACCACTTAGACTAATTTATTCTATTTAAAGTTTGAATATATATATGATTTCACAAGTACTAATTAATAGTTAAAACAGATTACGTCATTAGTTCTCGATAGTACACGTCGTTTGAATTATGTGGGTATGTTGATTTATGTTTTACCACCTGTGGATGACCATATTTTCCATACATGTAAACTATATTTAATGAAAATATAGTTTATCTGATAATATAGTTTCACGATAGTGATTCCAAGACTATCAACTTTTAACTATAGTTAACAAATGCGAATTATAGTTTACAAATGATAATTTATGATGATTTTATATTTATAAATAAAACCTAATCATTAAATTCATTCACAGGCAGATAAACTTGATTTAACGTTGGTATGAGATAGTTTACGACCGTTTAATATAGTTTTACAGATGAAAACAACAGTTCAGAAACCGTTAACTATACGCTTCTTAAACAATAGTTTACATGTAGTTTATCAACTGTACAACTATATTTTAATCTCTCTTTTTGTGAATTTGGCGTACAGTTTATACATGTAGATTTAAAAGTAATATTCATTTTATATTGGCACCATTTTACAAATGCAGCATTCTGATTGTAGGACAAGTTTATCCTTACCAACATGTTCTTTAACTGGTTGGTGACGGCGTGGCACGCACTTATAACCAGATTTGAGTACGATGAAGTCCTCCAGGAGACCATGGATAACTGGGCTTTTGTAGTTTTTCTCATCTCTTACGGCGTATTCCTACTTGTATTTGGTATCCTAGTTCTAATAACTGTAAGTCCTTATGATTCGTTAGAAACGAATACATAAAAACGAATTATATATTGATTATAACGGTTTTCAGCTGAATATAAAACATGGTATAGATATATTTTCTGTTGTGTGATTTTCAGTATGTTATTAGGAATAATGAATTAGAAACCAAACTACACAAGTACGAGGTGAGTATCTCACTGTACCCATATCAGCAATTTATACTGTATGAAGAATAAGTAGTTTTTTAAGGCATAACTGTCTAGTATTTTGGTTTTATGATGTGACAAAAAACATTTGAAAATGTAAATATTAATATATAATAATGTGCTTACAGGAAAAAGCTGAGAAACTGATGGGCGGAGATTGGAAGGACTCCCGGGAAAAAGAACACGAAAAAGTCACCGTCAAAGTAAATACCTGTAGATGTTTAAGGGGAACATCTTTGATTTTTGGAAAACCTTACTGAATATCTACAGTTATACCTTAACTAAATATTCATTTGGTTATACTTCATATTTGTGATATTCATTAAATGCCCGATACTTCGTGTAATAGCTGTTAAAAATGTAAGTGCATACCGTATATACTCGCCCATAAGTCGTTTTTGTTTGTTTGATTTTTTGGGGGGGGGGGTGTTAAATTTTTCTATCCAAAACTCTACGTCCGACTTATAGGCGAGTCCTTAAAAGATAGGTATTTTTCTGATCGGCGAAATGTAGTATTTTTTAAATAAATCCGACGATTATCGTAATCAAAAGTCGGATATATTATATCATTTATGTATTCTAGTATTATGCATTATAAAGGTACAAATATTATTTTATTTTACCTCAAGTGTGTATTATTTATTTTGTTATGTTATTTACATAAGTAATATTGTTTCAGTAACTCGTGCCCTACTGTAAATCTATCGCTTATCGGTAAAATTGAATTGCGACCCTGATATAACGCCAGTTTGGCATTAATTATTCAATTGTACTGTCTAAAATATTTCGATAAAAGATTTAATATTTTGAAAGAATATTCAAAACATAACTCTTAATATTCGTTTGTTAATGAAACTTATTGTTTCCCATGTACACGATTTTCTCGGGGCGCGTGCCACTAAGTAAACACAGTTTCAGGTAGATTAAGAGACAATAATTGTTTAGATAAACGAATGAAAATTGAATCATGTTAATAATAATAATAATAGATCAAGTGTAGCTTTTATAAAATCAATAACAACAGATATGACTCGGACATTGAGCACCTCGTAATTAGAAAAATTCATAAAAATCATCGGAATGTTATATATTGATTTGATCTGTAATACTAAATAAGAATGTTTTTTTTTTATTTTCAAGTGGCTAAGTATGTAATAAATAAAATTATAAAACACACTTAATATATCTTTATTTTAATTGGGAGAGTTAAAAGAAGGAAGGTAGAAAAAGAAGGTTAAAAAATTGTTGTGATCAGTGTTCAAAATATCTAGACGACAAGGTATATTAACTCTTTTAAAAACAAAACGTATGGATGGATTTAACAAAATGGTAGCTGTCTGGTTCGTTGAAAAATAAAAGGTTTACTATCGATATCATATCCCAAAATATTATTTAAACACAGGTAACTACATCAGAATATTAATATGAAATTGATTTGTTGAGAAGAAAAAAGATTAAATATCGGCGTCATTTCTCAAAATATTATTTGAAAAACGGGTTTAGATTTATTTTAAAACTCTCAACCGATTCTAGCAAAAAGTTGTACCGATTAATAAGCGGGTCAATGGCAAATCCCTAAAAAATAATAATACATCCGACTTATAGGCGAACTGACTTATTGGCGAGTATTTACGGTATGTGAAATGTAGATGATCATATAATACTTGAAAGAGGATACCTATTACGGATTCGTTACATATTTAATGCTCATACGATTTAGAAATGTGGTATTTCTTAGTATATAACATACCAATGTGTGCGTTTTCAGTAGATATACCGAATATAATCAAAGTTTGCCACTATTTTTAGAGACGAGCCGGATTATCCTACACAACCCCCGGTACAGCAGCCTCTGTGTCCCCCATGCATGCCTGAAGCTCCATTATAGCGGTGTCATCCCAAAAGCTTTAAACGATATACATCAGTACTTTCCATTGCATTACTGATATATTGTTATATAGAACTTTAAATCTGGACTTACCTCGAAGTGCTCAATATTTTGTCATTGTTGTGAATAGCATATGTTTATGTAATATGCAATAAAGAATTTGAAACTTCTAAGAGCCAGTTTGAAAATGAGTTTGAATTGCTAGTCTTGCTGAAATATTTAAAAACCTGAGTTTAATGTAAGCATAGAAACTAAATTGGATTACTCTCTCTTGCTTTAGGAAACATTTCAATAAAAAAAAAATGAAAAAAAAAGCTTATCAATAAATCATTTAATTTCTATAAAATAATTGATTCTGATTGGATAAAAAATTCTTTTGATAACTGCATCAATAAAATCTGGAGTTCACTTGCACTTAGCAGCCGGAACTACTTTGGCTGACTTTACATGTATATTTCCCGCTTCCATATTACTTTTGAAAGAAAAATGAAATTCTTTTACTCTATTTTCCTGAATTTCAAAACTCGTCCGTTACGTTCCTGAGTTATTTTCTACTTTAGTTTCTTTTCGAATTATCCCCCTTTGCTAAACAAATCAGATCGTCTGCAAATGACAACAATGCAGTTGCGGGAAAAAAGGAAAGAAATCATCATACGTATATTAAATGTTTGTGTTTGAGATAACTGGTATGAACAATAGAACTGTGAAGAAATGTTTTTATGCTACCAAAGCGGGGAAATGCCGTTACTCTGTTAATTCTTAGGAAACGAATGCATGAGAAAAACGACGCTGAGCGAGGACGGATATTCTTTCAAAGTTAAACAGTCGGCAACAGATTCTTCCAGATATTGAAGCATGTTGTTTTATGCCTGGACATGTTGTGATACGTATATATATGTTCGGTTTGAAATTCAGATGAAGAGATGCGCATATGAAACAGAAAATTTCTGTGACCTAGAAAGAGTTGTTAAGGTTATATTTGAGTAGCTTCCCTTTACATTTACGAACCTAAAGATATCAGCTTACTGGGGGAATATAAACATTGGGATATAGCAAAAATTAATACAACAGGTAAGTTTTTGTGTTAAAACTGTTTTTGTTAGAATAATAGTAATGACACGACAATATTTGAAAACGTTGTTTGTTCGTTATACTCGGCGTCTGAAATTTTAGACAACTAAGCTAGGCCTAGCCTATGTGTTGGACAGTCATTCGATCGTTCTCAAGTTAAATCTCATCATTGAAAGATAAATATTAAATGATAAGAAATAAATCTTATAATTTTTTCTTTCATCGATGTATCATAGAAAGCTTATACGTAAAATTTCATCAATCCAATGCGCATAGATCTGTACATTCAGCCATTTTGAAATTCAGCAACGTTGTTGTGATGTATTCCTTATGGTTACTTATGGTTACTTATGGTATTTTTCCAACACAGGTCCTGTCAAGGTCCTCTTCGTCGGACTCCAAACTTGCTTTGTGACTACTTGGGTGACTACTTGGGTGACTACCGGTGTAATCGGTTTTAAAATCTACTTTGTAATTATAGAGCACATCCTGGTCCTTCCAGAAGTTGTCTAGTCTATTCTTGAAAGTATTCAGAGTTTTAGCACTTACAACATCCTCTGGTAAGCTATTCCATAGACTGACAGTTCTAACACTGAAGCTGAATTTTCTTATATTGAGTCTCGGTCTCTGTACAAACAGCTTCTTGGAATTCCCTCTTCCTTGTTCCCTAGTAACGTGGTCTCTCCTTAACTTGATAAAGTCTGCTGCTAATGGGTCATACTTTCCACTTGTTATTTTGTACACTTCAATCATATCTCCTCGGTGGCGCCTGTACTTCAGCGTTGGTAGTTTTAGTTTCTTCAACCTTTCTTCATAGCTTAATTTTGCCAATCCTGGAATCTGCTTGGTAGCTCTTCTCTGCACTCCTTCAATCATCTCTATGTGTCTTGATTTGAAAGGGAACCAGACCGAACTCGCATAGTCTAAATGTGTCCTGACAAGTATCTTATAAAGAGGAATGAAAGTTTCTTCGTCCAAATGTTGAAAAGTTCGCCTTAACATTGCAAAAATAGAGTTTGCCTTTTTCACCTTCTCGCTTATGTGTCTATCAAAGCTGAGTTGTTCATCTATGATGACTCCTATGTCTTTTTCCTCTTGTACCTTCTCCAGAGTGCGTCCTAACAGCTCATACTCAAAGTCTTGGTCTGGGTCTTTCTTTCCAATGTGCATGTGTTTACATTTTTCTGGATGGAACTTTAAGAGCCAGGTGTTACTCCATTCTGTTAATTTCTCAAGATCTCTTTGAAGTGTCATTTTATCTTCCCTACCCTTAACTATGTTGAAGATTTTCGTGTCGTCGGCAAATAGGTACACAGTAGAGCTCACGATATCAGGGAGATCGTTGATAAATATGACGAACATTATCGGCCCAATTACTGACCCCTGCGGAATGCCGGAAGTTACGCTATGCCATTTAGATGTTGCCCCGTTTATGGATACTTGTTGTTTCCTTCCACTTAGGTAGTTCCTTATCCAGTCTATAAGTTCTTTCCCTATTCCATATGCTTCCAGTTTCTTAAGCAGTCTGTTATGTGGGACAGTATCAAAGGCCTTCTGATAGTCCATGTAGATACAGTCAACATCATGTCCACTGTCCAAAGCCTCTGTCCATTCCTCTAATACCCTTAACAGTTGTAGTGAAGTTGATCTACCACTGATAAAGCCATATTGTTTAGTTGTAAAGAGGTTGTTGCTTACAAAATGATCTATTATGTGGTCCCTAACTAGTCTCTCCATGACTTTACACACCACTGACGTTAAGCTCACTGGTCTGTAGTTTCCTGCTATCGCCTTGTTTCCTTTTTTAAAGATCGCGCTAATGCGTGCTGTTTTCCATTCTTCTGGAACTTTTCTCTCATCTACTGACTTCCTAAAGATCCTTGCTAGGGGTTCTGCTAATTCCACTCTTAATTCCCTCAATAGCCTTGGATGCATGTTGTCTAATCCTGGTGACTTATCTGGCTTTAACAGGTTCAGTGCTTTGATAATTTCTTCCTACAGTATTCTTAATTCTGTCCACTCCTTCTTGATAGGGCGTTTGTCCAGTTCGGGTATGGCTTCCTCAGGTTCTTGTGTAAAAACGCTACTAAAAAAGACTGCTAAAATATTTGCTTTCTCTTCATCCACTTCTGTTTTATTGGACTTTGGATTTTTAGGGTCGACACACAGTTCCCCGATTCCTTGTCTCGTTTTACTTTTTGAGTTAATATACTGCCATATCTTTTTTGGGTTAGTTTTTGCCTCTTGTGCTATACTCTTTTCGAATGACTTCCTTGCTTTCCTCACAAACTTTGCCACTTTGTTCCTAGTCCTATTGTACTTTTTCCTTATATTTGGATCCTTGGTAGCCACATATTTTCTGCACAGTGCGTTTTTTTCTTTGATCAAGGTGACAGTTTCTTTGTCCAAGGGCATTTTCGTTTTTCTGCTTGGTCTGATGGTGACTACTGGCACATATTTATCTTCTATGTCCTCAATTTTTTGTCGGAATTGACGCCACATCTCGTTTACTGTGCTCTGTGACTCCAGAATGCTTTCCCAATCTGTTTCGCTAATTTCCTTCTTCATACCGGCAAAGTTAGCTTTCCTATAAGTCTTCCTCTTTTTTGGTCCGCTTTTCAGTATTGCCCTGCAAACATATTTAAAGCAGATAACACAGTGGTCGCTCTTTCCTAATGGGCTTTGGTATTCCATATCCTCCACAGCATTTTCGTCCTTTGTGATCACAAGATCCAAAATGGTTGGAATGTTCGTTCCTCTCCACCTTGTTGGTTTTGTGACGGTTTGGAACATGAAGTTGTCCTGCAGACAATCTATGAATTTCTGCTCAGCAGAGTTTTCACTTTTTGTACACAGTAGATCCCAGTCTATATTAGGATAGTTGAAATCTCCCATAATGAGATAGTGTTTGCACTTCATTTTTGAGGCTTCAGTTATCAGGTTTCTTAAACATTCATTTTTTTCTTCGGTATTGTCTGACGGTGACCGATAAATGAGGCCAACTAGGAAATAGTCTGTGCTGTTTATCTTTATTTTCACAAAAAGCTGCTCCTCAAAGGACGCTGAAAGTTTTGCCTCCTCTGCATAAAGAGAATCTTGTACATATAGAAGTAGTCCTCTACCTATGCTGCTTTCAATATTTACATGAAACATCCTGTACTCCTTCGTCCAATCCATCGTATATTCAGCTGGATTAGGTGCACATGTTGCATTTTTTGCCTTCACTTCTGTTATTCCTATTATCAATGGCTTTGTGTCCCTTATCCTGACCTGGAACTCATTGAACTTATTTCTAAATTGGTCTGCATTGGTGTAAAAGAGCGAAAGTTTGTTTATCACTTTAAAACTATATACATTATTTACATTCCTCTTTGTATCTTCTAGTCTGGATCGCTTACCCTGAGCTTTACCACTTTCCTTGCCCAAGGTGGACCGCGCACACGGTACTTGAATTCCCCCGAATCATTTTTATTCAATTCCTTGGCTTTCATATACAGTTTCTTTTCATTTTCCCTCTCTGTGCGTGTCAAATCATTTGCAAGTCGTACTTCACTGAATTCAATGTTTTCCCGCAACTTTCCACCTCGTTTAAAGAACTCCACTTTTTTTTCTGGGTTTGAGAAGGTAACGAGCAATGGACGGCGTTTCTTATCCTTATTAAATTTACCAAGTCTCACTAACTTTACCATGTTTTCATCTGCGATGTTCACTTCACAAACATCAGCAACTCCTTTCACCTGATCTCTGTTATAGGAACGACGTACTTCCTTATTGTCTGAGTCACTTTCTTCTATCCCATAGATGATCATGTTACATTCTCTGTTTTTCCTCTCATTAATTTCACTCAGTACTGCTGATACTGGCACGGTGTGTTTTCCAGATTCACTCGCAGTCTCGTCCTCTGTATCAGCTTGATTTGATTCTGTTGATTTCTGTATTGCCTCAGAAACTATCTCCCTCACTTGTTCTTCACTGCATTTCTTCTCCATCTCGTCCTCCAGATACTTAATTCTACTGTCGAACATCTTCATCATGTCTTTACATCTCTCCTCAATTTCTCTGTCCACAATGATATTTTTCTCCACTTTTTCTCGGCATGGCACACAGAACCACATGATATCACTACTGTCCATCAGATTGTATTCTTCGACCGACTTGTCCAAGCACTTAATACAAAAGTGGTCCTTGCATCGTTGGCATTCCAGTAATTTGTCACTGGGGTCAGAGAACGAGTATTTGCACAAGTTGCATTTCCAAATTTCCTCCGTGTCATTTGATCCATTTACAAGTGTATTAGGGGAGTTAGTTCTGGAGTTGTTCCTAGAGTTAGATGCTGATTTAGCAGGTCTACCTCTTCTCTTCAGTTTGTTTTCCCCGCTTTGATCGAGTTCGCCATCTTGGATTTGTTTACTAGCCATCCTTTGTTGGATATTTCGTAAATTTCGTAGGCAAAATAGATTTTCTCCACCACAGATTTATTGCAAAACCTTCTCAAGCACCTTAGAGACCTACCACCACCCTTTTTATGCAATTTGAGCTCTTTTAGTTTGCAGAAAAATAATTTTTCTCTCCTTTGTTTTTCCAGTCCATCTACACCGGAAGTCACTCCCTCACTTCCTACGCACTGTCTTCGATACTTAAATTAAATATTAAAGTGAAAGAAATTTTCATTTTATTATTTTAAAATCATAATTAAATGATAAGAAATGAAAGTAATATTTTTTTCTTTGACCGAAGTATCAAACAAAAATTTGAACGGAAAACGTTTTCGTCAATGCGCTACGCGCATTGATGACGTTTTCCGTCCAAATTTTTGTTTGATACTTCGGTCAAAGAAAAAAATATTACTTTCATTTCTTAAGACAAAGATCCCCAAATCTTAGCCACCCAGTTTTGATTTTGATGGAAATGATGTTATCTTTCCGTCATTAGCAAGAGCAACACCGAGAAGTGTTTGTCTTCATTTACATGTATTTTTGTGTCGCATGCAGAGCAGAGCGACACTTTTGGATCTCTTTACCCGGCGTCTGTCCGTCCGTCTGTCAAACCTTATATCTCCAAAATTTAAAGAGGTATCGATTTGATATTTTGCACGTATATTGCTTGGTACAATGGCTTTTGTAAATTACCATGGTTACCGACCCTTGACCTTGACCTACTTTTCAAAATTTCATAGTGCCCATAAACAGCATATTTTTCACATTTAGGAGGTAAGTCTATGCTATTTAGCATGTGCACTGTTTGTCATTATATAAATAGTGCACGTTTTTTAGGGTAATAGTTGAAATTGACACCCCTCGGAAAACCATTGTCAACCGACGCGTCAGCGGAGGGTGACAATGGTTTTCCGAGGGGTGTCAATTTCAACTGTTACCCTCAAAAACATGCACTATTTATTTTATTATACTGAATGTCTTATTGATTTCGGATGTCATAAAAAAAAATTCGGAGATCGTCGTTAAGTTCACGCTTAGAAAGCTTTCAAACTCCCCGCTTCTATTTTTCTCAATAAGAAAGCTTCGGAAAAGATTTACCAACCTCTATTTGTTTGTTTGCTCCTCAAAAAGTCCTTTATCATCTAAACTGTGGACTCACTAGGATGTTTCGTCTGTCGTTTGTTGTTTTCAAGTAAGCTACGTCGGACGCAAGCTTTTATTGACGTCGTTTATTCGGCTTCTTTCAAACGCACAACCGACGTTTTGAGAATTATACGGTGAACCGTACGCGCATGCTTTGAACGCATGTGACATTTTCGTAATGTTACCCGTTGTCAAGTGTGTTGCTAACCTGAGGGTAACATTACGGATTGTTAAATGCGTCTAAACCAATCAGATTTTAGTATTTAACATGAAAGTATAATAAAAAAACATTATGAACAAGATGTGTTTGTGAAACACTGATGCCCCCGTATGGCAATATACAGCAAAGGTTAAACTTTCTCAAATGCTAATCGAATATGTTGGTACCCAAAGTAAGGTCTTGTCTCGAGAAATATACCTGTGAAATATGAAAACCCTAGCAGCAACCACTGAGTAAAACCATTGAAAAGGTTGAAGTTTTTCTCAAAATAGGTCAAACATCAAGGTCAAATGGTCAAAATTAATGGTGCCCAAGGAAAGACCTTCTCCCAAGAAATACACAGGTGAAATATGAAAGCCAAAGCACTAATCGTTCAAAAGTTATGGCCAAGGTTAAAGTTTTCCAAAAGTAGGTCAAACTCCAAGGTCAAAGGGTCAAAGTTAATGGTATCCAAAGAAAGGTCTTATCACAAGAATTACATATGTGAAGTATGAAAGCCCTAGCACCAACCGTTCAAAAGTTATGGCCAAGGTTAAAGTTTTGCATAAGTAGGTCAAACTCCAAGGTCAAGGTCAAAGGGTCAAAGTTGTTGGTATTTAAAGGAAGGTCTTGTAACAAGAATTACCGGTACACATGTGAAGTATGAAAGCCCTAGCACCAACCGTTCAAAAGTTATGGCCAAGGTTAATGTTTTTCAAACGTAGGTCAAACTCCTAGGTCAATGTCAAAAGGTCAAAGTTGTTTATATCCAAAGGAAGGTCTTGTCACAAGAATTACATATATGAAGTATGAAAGTCCTAGCTCCAATTGTTCAAAAGTTATGGCCAAGGTTAAAATTTGGTAAAATTTTGCAAAACTGGTCAAACTCGAAGGTCAAGGTCAAAAGGTCAAATATGTTGGTACCCAAAAAAGGTCTTGTCACAAGGAATACACATGTGAAATATGAAAGCCATAATTCCAACCAATCAAAAGTTATGGGCAAGGTTTAAGTTTTGCGGACAAACAGACAGCTAGACAGACAGACGGACGGACAGGGCAAAAATATACCCCCGAATCTTCGATACGGGGGCATAAAAATACCAGTGTTGCAATCCACTTTACCTTTGATCTACTTTGCAAAATATACCCTGGAAAGTTTAATTTTACTTAGGTCTTTTTATTTTTAGAGTCAGGGCTTTCATAATTAGCATTTATACATGATACGGTAGTTTGAAACAATATGATATTCAGTTATCACTCAAACTTATATTTAAATACTATCAAAATACATCGGAATCGTATTCTACAATGGATCGTGTAGACTGACAATTGCAGTAAAGACAGACTGAAATCTCTTTTGGGGTGTTGTTGGAAACAAAACTGATAAATAATTATTTCTAATAATTTCAATTTAATTATTCATTTGAGGATGGGGAAACCATCTTTTCTTTGATTGTCAGATTATATTGCAGTCTTATACTGTCCGTGGATTTTTTTTCTTTCCAGGCAAATGCATGAATTATAATTATTCTAGTAGTAAATAAATATCTGACCACTCTTATATCTATTTACATCGTCGATGAAGCTACAAAGCAGGCGACACATGCATTCCTTAAGATACTCTAGTTTTTTTATGCCCCCGTAATCGAAGATTCGGGGGCATATAGTTTTTGCCCTGTCCGTCCGTATGTCTAGCTGTCTGTCTGTCTGTCTGCAAAAATTTTAACCTTGCCCATAACTTTTGATTGGTTGGAGCTATGGCCTTCATATTTCACATGTGTATTCTTTGGCACAAGATCTTTCTTTGGGTACCATAAAATTTGATCTTTTGACCTTGACCTTGGAGTTTGACCCACTTTTGCAATATTTTTTCATACTTAAACCTTGGCCATAACTTTTGAATAGTTGGTGCTAGAGCTTTCAAACTTCATAGGTGTATACCTTGAGACCTTCCTTCAGATACCAGCAACTTTGACCCTTTGACCTTGACGTTTGACTACTTTTGGAAAAACGTTAACCTTGGCCATAACTTTGAAACTGTTAACGCTAGGGATCTCATATTTCACATGTGTATTCCTTGTGACAAGACCTTTCTTTGGATACCAAAAACTTTTACCCTTTGACCTTAACATTTGACCCTGTTTTGAAAAACTTTAACCTTGGTCATAACTTTTGAACAGTTAGAACTAGGGCTTTCATCTTTCACAAATGTAATCCTTGTGACAAGGTCTTCCTTTGGATACCAACAGCTTCGACCCTTTGACCTTGGAGTTTGACCTACTTTTGCAAAACTTTAACCTACCTTGGCCATAACTTTTGAACGGTTGGTGCTAGGGCTTGCATACTTAACATATGTAATCATTGTCACAAGACCTTCCTATGAATATCAACAACTTTGACCCTTTGACCTTGGAGTTTGACCTACTTTTGGAAAACTTTAACCTTGGCAATAACTTTTGAATGGTTGGTGCTAGGGCTTTCATACTTCACATATGTAATCGTTGTCACAAGACCTTCCTTTGGATACAAACAACTTTGACCCTTTGACCTTGGAGTTTGACCTACTTTTAAAAGATATAACTTTGGTCATAACTTTTGAACGGTTGTGCCAGGGCTTTCATATTTCACATGTGTATTTCTTGGGAGAAGGCCTTTAATTTTGACCATTTGAACTTGTTGTTTGACTTACTTTTGAAAAACTTTAACCTTTTCCATATCTATTCAATAGTTGCTGCTAGGGTTTTCATATTTCACAGGTATATTCCTCGAGACAAGACCTTACTTTGGGTACCAACATATTTGATTTGTATTTGAGAAAGTTTAGCCTTTGATACGAGTTGCCATACATGGGCATCAGTGTTTCACAAACACTTCTTGTTTTTCTCATGAACCTTTAATTTTTTTGAAGGGGTGGGGGTGGGCATCACTCTTGCAAATATTATTCCAAAGGCACTGAATACTTTTAAGATTTATTCAACATAAAAGAAAGAAAAAAAATAACAGTATAATGGTATAAGTCAATATAATAAAACAAAATCAACAAAAACGACTAGATTCTTATACATTTATCAATAAAATTTAAGGAGACAATGGTCATATTTAAAAGATGTATACAAGTATATAGTCATATCTTAAAATATGTAAATTGATAACAAAGGTATTTCAAAAGAAATACCAGGTCCTCATAACTATACATACATGCATACCATAAGAAATGGAACAACTATTTACCACTTCTGTTACAATGTAAACAAAACATTCATTAATTTCTGTATTAAAATGGCATAAACCTTGTTTAACAGAGAATTCATTGTGGTCCCCATTGCTCTATATCAAAATATATGTATGCAACTATTAAACACAAAATTAAATATACAAAACAAATTAATGTATAAAGTTTGACTAGAATTAATAAATCACAAACAGCATTTTTGATAAGTTAACTCTGCATTGAATATGCATGTGCATGTGCAACATCTGACATGGAATTTTAATCATGTTCCAATGTACATTATTTCAAAAAAAAAAAAATCAACATTTAAATTTGATAAGTATTTTCTTTATAACAACTAATAAACTGCTCAGAAAAATTTTAGAATTCAATTAAGCTTTGAATCAATATTTTTTGACATGCATTGTGTCAATAAAACATGGACGGGTGTGTTGACAAATTAAATAACGATCGAGCATGATACAATGCGTGTCAAAAAATATTAATTCAGTGCTTATATTTATATTCTCAGAAAACATTTTTTTATGGATCAAGTTTGTCTTGACTTCTGTAGGAATAAAATTTAACAGCCAGCTGACATGTTTGCAAACTGCATAAAGAAGCCAAGAATGTGATAAGCAGTTTTTTAATTATATCCATCTGCTGTGGATGAAAAAATAGTGTGAGTATCAACTTTTTTTAAAAAGAAGAAATATCTTATAATTATCTAATGTCAATAAAGTTTCATTTTTACAACAGTAAAATAATAGACCCATGGGCCACAATGCTCACCTGAATATGTACAGTCATTCTTGTTTTTCATCAGCAAAGTCTTTTTCTTATATATTTCTAAGTAAAACTTAGACAACTCATTGAAGCCCCATTTTACCTTACACTACCTGAGGATGCTTCCATGTAAATGCCTAATCATGGATTTCCTGTTCTTGAAAAGAGAATTTTTAAAGAAATTAAATAATTTTAATTAAAATTTTCAGAAATTTCTATGTATTCCCATGTATAAGTTTTATCCCCATTGTGACCCATCCTTTCCTCAGGGGCATGATTTGAACAAACTTGAATATACACTATCTAAGGATGAATCCATGTAAATATGAATTGACATGGTTTTGCCATTCTTGAGAAAAAGATTTTTCCTATTTTTTTTTTTTTTTTATATTCTCCTATGTAAAACTGTGATTGCCCATCCCCACTCCATCCCTCAGGGTCATGATTTGAATCTACACTACCTCAGGATGCTTCCATATACCCGGTAAATATAACTGATCACAGCTTTGCTGTTCTCGAGAAGATTTTTAAAGATTTTTCCTACTTATACCCATGTTAAACTCTGATTACCCAAAGTAGCTCCACCCTATTCCCAGGGGTAATGATTTGAACAAAATTGAATCAACACTGTCTCAGGAAGATTTTGCATTTTAATTGTTTCATCTTTATTAGCCCAAAGGTTATTGAGAAGAGGATTTTTAAAGATTTTTCCAGTGCATCCTATATAAAATTTTGATTGCCTATTGTAGTCCCGACCCACCCCTTGAGGTCATGATTTGAACAAATTTGAATTTTCACTACCTCAGGATGTTTCCATTAAGATATGACTGTTCATGGCTTTGCTGTTCTCAAGAAGATTTTTAAAGATTTTACTTATATATACCCATGTAAAACTTTGATCACCCATAGTGGCCCCACCCTATCCCCTGGGGTAATGATTTGAAGAAACTTGAATCTCAATCATGTCAGGAAGCTTTCACATAATTTTCATTTTTTTCCTGGCCCAGTGGTTCTTGAGAAGAAGATTTTTCCCACCCAGTTTTTTTACTTTTTCATAATTACCTTCCCTTGGAAGAGGATGTGGCCTTTAATTTTAACAAACTTGAATCCCCTTAACCCACGGATACTTTGTGCCAGGATTGGTTGAAAATGGCCCAGTGGTTCTGGAGAAGATGATGAACTTGTAAAAAGTTGATGACAGTGACAAGAAAAAGGACAGAAAGCGGACAAATTTTGATCAGAAAAGCTCACTTGAGCCTTCAGCTCAGATGAGCTAAAAAATAAAATAAAAATAGAATATAGATGATCATGCTACACAATGAATTCAATGAAAAAATTTCTTAAATGTATTCATACAACTTTTTTATTTTTCGTACAACATTTAAGTCATTCGGTTCTCATCTGTGTTACAGAAGACTGAATGCTAAAAGTTTTCTACACAGTTTCTTACTTGTGACAAGGAAAATACACATTTAACTAAAAATAAATATTCTTCAATAACACAGATGAGAACTGAATCACCAAATTAAGAAGGTGTTTAAATACATTAATTTTTTTGTGTGTGTGTTGAATACCATGATCAAACTTTTCTATTTTATTTTCTTATTTAACTTTTTTTAAATGACAAAAGATATAAATCACTTCCTCTTCTTTTTGCACTATTTTTCACTCACAGCTGAAGGAGAAGGGGAAATCGATAAATACCATTTCTGGCTGACCTTGTTTTGTAGTTTGTTTACAAGCTGGTTAAGCATTTAAATCTTATTCTAAAACAAGTAAAGATAAACTTGATCCATAAAGAAACTCTACCTGAGGATATCTTATAAAGAGAAGGATTGAATTAATATTTTTTGACATGCATTATGTCATAACACAGAAGACTGACTAATTTTGCTATAGTGCAAAAACCCCTTAGTCAATTTATCAGCACAGCCCTCCGTGTTATGACACAATGCATGTCAAAAAATACTAATTCAGTGCTTAACTAAAATATTCTTCTATACATATACATGTCACTTTTGTTGAACCCTTTGTTATTTCATTAGCATTCTCAATTACTATCAGATAAAATGGGTAAAAATAAGGTCTTCAGTAATTAAGGGAACAATAAATTATTTACATCAGTTTCATTTATTCATTTATTGTTTTTATTTTCAATTTTATTTTTTCTGTAATTAAGAAAAAAGTTAAATTTATGACGGTCAAACACAAACGTATTATTTCTAATCATTATATCAGAACACACTCAAAATTTTATTCCAAATAAATATTCAAAATCTGATTCTCCCATTATTACAAACCAAACCTCTAGAAGTTGTCTAATATTCCTCCCTGCTAATAATTTTGACTTTAAAGGGTTTAGGCTGAACAGCCTGTTGATAGGTGGACTCCAAGTTATGAGTGGTTCCTTCTGGTCTGACATAAAGCTGATGCATGATGTGTGTGAAAAAGATAAATACCTCCACATCAACCAGGCTTTCCCCAGGGCACCGCCTGTCCCCCAGTCCAAATGGAATGAAAAATTCGGGAATGTGAAGTCCACCGCTGGAATCTAGAAATCTTTCAAAAAATACAAGATCACAAATTTTTTATCACATGACCAGATTTCCAAAGCATAAAAAATATGAGATATTTAAGATGAAAAAAAATCAGATTTATTGTGAATCTATGTTACATAAGATTATGTGGATTGGCAAACTACTGCTTTTTCCTATTAAACCTTCAATTTTATACAGTTGATATTACATATTAATATACATGTATATCCATGCATGTTCTACCTTAGTGGATTAAATTTAGAGGGATTTTTCCAGAGTTTTTTATCATGATGTAGACTCCAAACACTGAACATCATAATGGTGTTTTTAGGAATGTTGTACCCTTCAATAAAAAAACTTAATATTTTTCATAAAATGTTTATGTCAGTTTAATTGTATAAAGTACTTCTTTATAATCAGATATTATTATTTAACAGTGTAATGTCTAAAAGTGTCTACCTTGAAATAAACAGTTTTTCACAGCTCTATGTGGATGAAGGAATGGAAACAGAGTGACAATCCTTTGTACTTCTAGTATTATAGCCATTGTGTAGGGAAGGAAAGGTTGGTCAACTAATGTTGGAAACCTCTTCCTACCAACAACTTGATCCATTTCTTTCTGCATTTGTGTTTGAACATCAGGAAAAGCTGCCATGTATCCCATCAGCCATGTTAATAATGCTGGTACAGAAGAAAAGCCCCCACCTGCCAACTCAAGGAGGATACAGTCCATGTCGTCCGAGTCCAATAACTCTCTATCCTCTCCCGCCTCAATAAAAATCAGAAGCTGGTCAACAAAATCTCTTAAATCATTAGGGTTGTAGGAATCTTTATGCTGATTCAGAAGAATTCTTTGAAATTTTGTCAATAAACTAGCTCTCTCTTCAACTTGTCTAATTTGTTGTTTAAAAAAGGGTTTTAAAAAGGGAAAGTAATTATATAACTGAATTTTCATAGCTTCTTTTCTGTCCTCCAAAGAATCATAGATTTCATGTGTTATAGGATCATCTGCATCATATGTATCCTCAAATAGCAGTGTCATCATGATGTGCAAGTGAGCAAATTTGAAGCACTCTGCCGGATCAAAGGCTCCCTCCTCATTCAGAAAGAAGCACATCAGACTGAGCGTCTCCTTCACTACAATTTTCTCTACAGAATAAGACAGGTGCCCTCTATCAGGATGAGGATTCCAGTGGCTGTTTAGACTATTTATCACAAAGTCTCTCTTAATTTGAGTTTTCAGATCAAAGTCCGCTGTAGAAATACCTAAAAATAAACTTCTCATTGCAATACATTTTTCATGCTAAATTTACACCACATAAATTTCGATAGAGTTGGCAAAATCAGGATAACATAGCAACAAATACTCACACAATTATAGAAATGTCTTAATTTTGTCAACTTATGGATATTTTGATAAAACTGATAATATACATTAACAGCAAATATTATTTAATAAATGCATCATCCCATTTAAATGTTATTATTTATTAGAGACTGTTTAAAACATAGAAGTCAATTACTTAATACTACATAAATTTTGTAAACATTATCTAATGATGTTCGATGGGCCTTTGCCAATTGTTGTAATTGTGTTTGTGCCAATAAATATTTGTACTTGTATTTATTTTACTGTAAATTTCACAGTTTCTATGAATAGTTAGATAGAATGTTCTATCATTAAAATGATAAATGTCCTATGGATCCGGTTTAACAACTGTGGTGAAGGCCTGTCCAGAGACACAGTTATATTAATCTAACTAGTGAATAGTAAACACCTATTTAAAATTTGAAAATACCTCTTTGTCTGTTTCCCATAAACAAATTATGGAAAACCGTAAAATTTGGTCTGCCATCAAAGTTGTTATCTGGATCTGTCAACCCTTCTAGAATGCCTTCTTGAGAACACACCACAACTATATTCCATTTTCCTGCTTTGATACTGAAAATATCTCCATACAATTCTCTTAGATTTGCCACTCGTATGTGGGATTTTGACTTAAAGAAATCTAAATTTCCAATAAATGGGAATGATATTGGACCTGGTGGATAATTTGTTCGTTGCTTTCGCCACAAATACACTAGGCTAACACAAAACGTCAATAATAAAAAGAAAATGTTCGGAGCCCTGAAGTTACATTTTGTTACATACGACTGGAAAATTTCATCTGATGAAAGTATCAAGTTCGTAACAGACTCAATTAAGGTTTTGTTCATTTTCACGCGAGTTTTCAATACCCTTGACAGGAACAGAGAAAATTCGAACTAAAAATAAATACACTGCTTAAACGCTCTCTAGTACTTATTAAAGAAACATCTCCCTCCAAAAAAAAAAAATCAACCTTTACTTCAATTTCTGACAAAAACTCATCAAATGACCTTTGCAATGTTACTGGTATAAGCCTTGTATAGAGACTAGAGTATTGATTCATGATTGAACATTCAATATTGTTTACATTGTTTACAAACGCTTCGCCGACAATCAACGTTGATCATACGCACTGTTCCTTATACCATTTGAAATAACAATGGAAAAAATAATTAAGTATCGTTGCCATAACATTTTTTGACTTATAATTCCCAGCAATTTAGACAATTTAAATATCTTATGATAAATGCTATTTGGTAAATTGAGAAACAAACCATGCCCTTTATTAACTAAGGCCGCTTGTGACACTACAAGGGTAAAGTGTAAACACTCTGCAAACTGCATGATCCCAGAATGTTTCCTAAGTTGAAACTTTGCACCAAGTATGGCATCACATACATCATAATGAATGCATTTGTTTGTTTATATTTTAATAAGTAAAATTTTGTTGAGAAAGCTATTTCGAGAAAAATAAATGAGATAAAGCAGTTACATATATCTGGAGCATGCACTCTTGATTCATTGATTGATTATGTTAGATGGATGTAAATGATACAGTTTTTTCCAATTATCAGATACTTTTCTTTTTCACAGATTTTCATCAACTGTTAACCAGTTAAGAAAACTTACCAGCAAAGGTCAGCTTTATTGCATTAAAATATTGAACATGTTGGGATAGAAAAATAGCTGTACATGTATGATTAAAGAAATAATAGTATTACATAATTTCAACAATAACAATGTTGAAGGATAATAAGAAAAAGTTGATTGGATTATCTTGTACATCATCTGATTGTGTTGATTCAAATTAACGAATGGTTTTAAAGATCGATGTAGTTTTTAAATTGTTAATAGATTTGTCACCTAGCTCCCAAAGTAATCCGAGATTCCTCTGACTCTAACCCCTTCTTTTATATTGTGAGTGTGCAGCCAGGGGAGGAGCACCATGCAGAATGCTCTTCTGCGTGGTATGAAAGTCTGTCTAGGTCATTGAAGAAAAAGTTACAAGCACTTTAAAATAAAACAATAAAATTCATTTTTAGCTCACCTCAACGAAGTTGGGGGAGCTTATGTAATACCCTCGGCGTCGGTGTCGGCGTCCCAGGTTAAGGTTTTTGGAGCAGTTTTCTTTTCAAGTATTTCTATGGCCTATATTAGTCAGAGATGCATGGAGGATGCTTCTAGTGTGTCAGTCTATGCGAAAGTCTAAAATTTTTACAGGACACAATGTCTGGTAAAAATATATATTTTACCAGACCAAGCATTTACTTACCAGACCGACCTTTTTTCTTTAAATTTAATCATACATCATTATGATAGAGATTGTTAAAAGGAGGGAGGATTCTCACTGTTAAATTGAACCTCAAATAAATCCAGATTTGAAATTATAAAAAAAATTATTTCATTGAAATGAACAAGCTTACTATTAATAATTTTCCTTTTTATAAGGTAATATACAATTCCATACAATTTTCTCTTTTTCTGGTTATTTGACACATACAAACGAAATACACATGTCAATTATTTTTTTAAACTTAAAATGCACTTTAAAATATATTTATTTCTTTCCTGAAGTAACTCATTGCGGTTACTCTTGTTTAATAATGAAAATAATTTTGCTCAACTGAATCTACGTTTGAGGTATTTAAGGATCTATGTTCCATGACAGAGGAAATTCGAGTTAGAAATAAACGATCATGACAGGATTCTTATAGATTAAAATTAAACATGTATTACTGCTAAATGGATCAAATAAAGGATATGTGTGGACAATAAGACCATATGTACATGTAAATTCAGTTTTTTAGGCCTAAATTTTTCATCGGACAATTGGTCCTGTATCCTGAATCTTTTTACCGTTCCGAACCAAATTTACCGGTAAAAACCGACGTTCCGGTGACTTTCGCATAGACTGGTGTGTTTCATTGTACCAGTCAAGGTTTCTGATGCTGCAATTTCAGCTAAAGAATGACCAGGTTAATGTTTTGGAGCAGGTTAAAGTTTTTGGAGCAGGTCTCATTTCCAAGTAACTATAAGCCCTATATTGACCAAACTTGCATGCATGATACATCTAAGGATGCACTCTACTGAACTTGCTTTGGATGCTGGATCTGACCTACATTTTCCGGATGAGTGACTAGGTTAAGGTTTTTGGAGTAGATCTCATTTCCAAGTAACTATAAGTCCTATGTTGACCAAACTTGCAAAGATGATACATCTAAGGATGCACACTACTGGACTTGCTTCGGATGCTGGATCTGACCTATATTTTCCGGATGAGTAACTGGGTTAAAGTTTTTGGAGCAGATCTCATTTCCAAGTAACTTAAAGCCCTATATTGACCAAACTTGCATGGATGATACAATTAAGGATGTACACTACTGGACTTGCTTCAGATGCTGATTCTGACCTACATTTTCAGGACGAGTGACCAGATTAAAGTTTTTGGAGCAGATGTCATTTCCAAGTATCTATAAACCCTATATTGACCAAACTTGCATGGATGATACATCTAAGGATGTACACTACTGGACTTGCTTCGGATGCTGGATTTGACCTATATTTTCTGGATGAGTAACCAGGTTAAAGTTTTTGGAGCAGATCTCATTTCCAACTATCTATAAACCCTATATTGACCAAACTTGCATGGATGATACATCTAAGGATGTACACTACTGGACTTGCTTCGGATGCTGGATCTGACCTACATTTTCCGGATGAGTAACCAGATTAAAGTTTTTGGAGCAGATCTCATTTCCAAGTAACTATAAGGCCTATCTGAATCAAACTTGCATGGATGATGCATCAAGGGATGAACAATCTCAAAACTTGCTTTGGATGCTGGATTTGACTTAAATTTCTGGATGATTGACTAGTTTTAAGTTTTCAGATAAGTCTATTCCCAAGTAACTGCAAGCCCTATCAGACACCACAACTAAATGTTGTATCTAGGGATGCACACTCCTAGATTATTAGTTTAGTGTGGGACTTTGCCTTACTTAAAGACAACATTCGTTGAGGTGAGCTCTGTAATATCTGATTACCTATGTTTTAAAATGTGATGTTCTAGATTCAACAAACACACTCTGTGTAGCTGGATGAGTTTAAAGACAACCATGTCACCCATAGCCTGGCACCAAATAACCTAGAGAAACACTTTGGTAGAGAATATAATGTACTAGGGGAGCTTTCAATTTTTTTCATGTTCCTAGGGTTGGAACTTATTGTAGTTCAAATTTTTATTATCATGCTATTTGAGACTGGAATCCTCTTCCCTTGGGAGTTAGAAATATAGCTAATTAGAGCTAGTTTTAAATTTTCTGTCAAGTTTCATCTTGCACAAGAAGTCAAAGGAGGGAAGAAAGTATATATATATAAAATTCTATGATGTAATAATACAGATTTTAATTTTTTTTTTTGGTATTAAATTTTTTAAAAAACTGTGCTTTTTATATATCTTATATTTTTTTTATTTAAACTTCAGATGTAACCCCCATCAACAAAATTCTGATTGCTAATCGTGGAGAAATAGCGTGTCGTGTAATTCGGACTGCTCGTCGTCTTGGTATTCAGACGGTAGCCATCTACAGTGATGCTGACAGAGAGTCACTTCATGTGGCTATGGTAAATAAAACAAAAAATAATATTTCCAAGTCAAACTATTTCTTAATTTGTTAAAGAAATGTTAATACATGTATATTATTAACCCATATTATTAACCCATATTATACAACTTAATCTGTGTTTTGTCTGGTTAAGTGGGGAGTATTTTTGCATAACAAGGGTTTAAAGGTTAGGTTGATATTTTGTCGATTTTAGGCAGATGAGGCCTTCCACATAGGACCTCCAGCAGCAGCTCAGAGTTATCTTCAACAAAAGAAGATCATTCAAGTAGCTAAAGAATCAGGGGCACAGGTAAGCTTTATATTTAGAGATTTAAGTTATCTGAGTAATAAGGGGTTCGTTATCTGAGTAATAAGGGGTTCAGGGGCACAAGTAAGCTTTATTCAGTCAAACCTTGTTATCTGGAACTTGATGGGACTGAGCAAAACTATCTGTCGAAATATCCAAGGGTTCGAGATACCCAGGGTAAAATACTTAAGAAATATGTGGATAGGACTTTCCAATCACTTCGACATATCCATGGTATTCGACATATCTGTGTTTGAGATACCGAAGTTCTGCTGTATTTAGAGATTTAAGTTATCTAAGTTATAAGGGGTTCAGGGACACAGGTAAGCTTTATATTTAGAGATTTAAGTTATCTAAGTAATAAGGGGTTCAGGTCAGCTAAACAGGCTAAGGCTTCAGTCTAAGTAATAAGGGTTCAGGTCAGCTAAACAGGCTAAGGCTTCAGTCATCAACACAGGTAAGGCTCTGGATAATCAGAAAACTCTGACAAGACCAAGACTCAGGTTACTATTAATTAGGAGACATGTAAGTTATTCAGAAAATTAAATAAAGCTGAATAATAAAGAGTTTAGTAAAGCTAAGAGGTCAGGCAATCAGCCAGGGACTTTGTCAAGCTAGATAAAGACTCAGGTTCACAGTCATGAGAACTGGTAAGCTTAATTGGCATTAAAGAGTTCAGTTAATCTGAACACCTGGGACTCAGTTTTGCCATACTCTGAAATCCTCAAGCTTCATCATTAGATAACATAGAGGCTAAAGCTAAATCAGGTAAGCTTACCTATTTTTAAATAGTTTAACTAAGCTGAACAGTCAAGGCCTGAGTAAGGTGGACAGTTATAGCCTTGTGTAAGTAACTAGAAAATATTGTAGGGGAGTTAATCCATCAAAGTTCAGGTAAGCATTCAGAGGCTATGGTATCCATTAAGTATAACAGGCTTTACACCCCAGATATCATCCCCCCCTGTTTTTACCAGGCTATATGCCTGGATATGTTCTTTTCTCTCT